CTTTACGCTAATATTTCCCAATTATGTTCCATTTTTATAAATATTATCGTGACATGAAAGACTATAGTTATAAACAAGTGCAGCATCTCATATATTCTAATCACCAAGGTCTTTCTCTTCCTATTAATTCAAGTACAAACATTGTCTCATTGAATATAGAATCGAGGAAGTAGAATTATTGCAAAAGTAAATCACACATCTACTCGTTTCAATCAATAGGTCTCCCCGATATAGAACAAAGAAAGAAAGGTCATACTGTTTGATCTCGAACGACAATCAAATTTGACACTCAAAGTTTATTAGAAAACAGGCATATACAAATATGTTATAGGGTGTGTTGTCATCCAAGAATTTTCACATCTGTTTGAGATCACTGTAACAGGAAAATATTCACTCAGTTGTTGTCTCACATCCAAAGAAAAGAATTTCTCTGTTACAGTAAAACTAACGAGGGAACCTTTTCGGATATCAACCTCCGATTTCAAGGAGTAAAAGATCCTGGAAATCGGAGGTTGACATCTGAAAAGGTTCTCTTATAAATAAGCCAGGAAATCTAGCTGCACCGCCTAGATTAGCTAGATTAAAATGTACATTTATTTCGCTGCATGACGATTAAAATTGTGCTCTAGCTGGAGCAGTCCAGCTGCATTGTCGACTTGTCGAACAATTCACTGCCCGATTAATCAACAACATCCAGTAATACTTAACTGAAGATATACGGTCTATCGCAGTGTTAAAGTACGTTGAATTCACCTCTTGTTGCACCTATGACTGGATTGAGGGTTCAACATGACGCTGAATACTGAAAATTTTCCACTTATTATAAGATTTCGTTATACCAATTTTCATCTATTAGATACTCAGCTTTTTCGCTCACTCTCACTATCCTCTTCCCTCCACGATGGCTACCCGCGACGACGCGAATATACAATCCGAATCTTGCAAATCAAAGTATAATGCAAGGAACGCTCAAACGTCGCCTCTTATATGTCTGATGACGTCCTTATTGACACTCCCAGCAAAGGTTTTTGTACAGGAGTACCAATAGCTCCTACTTGACACTCCCAAACAGTTTCTGGGAGTGCCAATAGCCATTCGGAAACAAAATTGAATTTCTTCACCTGTTACGACTAGATGATTAGTCATGCTACTTGATTTTTTCTAAAACAAAGAACCAAGGCATGACGTTAAAAAAGTTTGACTACCTATAAATTTGGTAACGTCCAAAAATGATCAATGCTGATTTTGTTTTTTATGGCGAAAAGATTTTATTTTTATTTTTAAATGAATTACTCAGGAAAAAACGCAAGATACTTTATAAATATCAATATAAATGCAAACTATGATCGTGTTCGTTGTCGTGTATTATAACTCTTGTTTCTGAATGATCCTGGTCATGAGAATGCCCGTAATGATGCTGACGTTTTCCGTCTTCATTTGGTTTTGCCTCTTCAATCGTAATCTGAGGGATCTTTTCTCTTTGTATTATGTCGGTGAACCCATTAGACGTTGTGTCTGGGTTAGTCAACGCATTATGATTAATAACGTTTTTTGTACAACATGTCTGCGTATCACAGTCATCATTTTCACATCTCAAAAGACATTCAGTCACCTGTTCTTGGTCGGAATTCGATCTGTCCTCATCTGGACATTCGTATTGAACCGTTGTTGAATGAATACCTTTGTTATGAAAAAAATGTTTAACACGATCAGCAACGGACATGTAATTGGAAAGAGAACGACGATGTAAGTGCGCACTAGCTATTATCTTCTCTCCAGTTAAGCGCCACACGTGCAATTCATGAATTCCATCGACTTCTGGTATTTCTTTGAGCAAATCTCGTTGAAGTTTCACCACTTCGATGTTATTTGGAATGGACTGCAACAAGACGAGCGATGTTTCAATGAAGAAGGGAATGGTGGATATGGTGATTATGATAATTATGATTACAGAAAGAGTCGGATCGATATAAACTGTCCAATGATGAGTGTTGTTCGGATCATGTGGAACGAATTTCACGATTAAAGCACTTATTATGACAACGATTGAGCCAAGAGCATCGGCAAAGACATGAAGAAATTGAGCTTGCATGTTCATCGAAGCACGTTTTGTACGTTTTGATGATTTTTGGTGTTTATCTTCGGATTTACGATCGATTTTGTGAGCAGGAGATAAAGCTGATGCTGGAATATCGATAATCGTATCTGGTTCTTTTTGCTCTACAATATCACCAATGGCCTAAAAGTGAAACGACAAAGAAGATTATCGTACGGAAGGAGAATATGTTCCGTGCCACTTCACTTTTCTTTGTCGGCGTGAAACGCAGAAAAGTGGAGTGGACTGGTGGACTTCTCATGAGGTTTTTTTATCGATTGAAACAGTGTCCAGATGTGTGGAAACGAAGAAATAACAGAAATGCGTTCAATCGATGGTTGAAACATGCTTTTTAGCCTTTTAATCGATATATGAAACGCGTTTCAAGTATTGATTGAACGCATTTCTATTATTTCGTCTTTTCCACGCGTTTGGGCACCGTTTCAGTCGATAAAGCATGGGTTAAACACAGCAAAGGACGAACGTTTAATGATTGTAATTTATAAAAGCTTCCGACTATTTCTTTTATGAATAATCTGAATGGATGCTTAATTCATAACAATTACCGACTGCAAGTGTCTGCTTATAAAACACCTCAAGGTCGTTCTCTGATGAAAGTCAATGATGAGAAATAAGTACGGTTAGAACGGCGTTACATAAAATAAAGATCTATTTAGGGATGCCGTCACATTGTCCATCGCTTTAATCGCTTTGAGCGACTAAAGCGATGAACAATGTGACGGCATCCCTTATACTCCGAGTATTTTGAGTTGTTATCTCACTCAGCTGTTTTTGGTTGCGAAACGATGGAAAAAATCACGGTGCTTTTCCCTTTAATAAGAAGTTCGGTAAATTCGCATTTTCTCATTGAAGTCGGTGAGTTTAGGCATTCTTAGATCGCCTTGAGATTTTGATCAGCGAATGTGAAAAGAAAATGTTCAAAATTCTCTGAAGAACAGCATACCGTTGACTAAATCATAATCAAAAAGCTAGTAGTTAAAGTCCTAATTTTCCTTCAAACAACAAGACAGGTCTACAAATTAGCAAAGTGCTTCTTCTTATCTGCTTAAGAAAGAAAAACATTTCGAAATCCGTCCTTGTTGTTGACGAAGAGAGGAGAATTACATGTTACAAACCTCTTCGAGTGCTCTTGAACTATGTCGTTTGAATTCTGTTACATTTGATATATGATTAAAAATTTCGGCGCCTGTACTATCATGTCTCGTTCGTTTTTGTGGTGTTTCTACGTCTGGTATATGGGCAGGGTTATCATTACCATGGCCGTGGCTATCACGGCTATGGCCACCATGTGAGTGTCCATGTTCTTTCCGTTTATCTCCTGTTGAATGAGAATGTTCGTGGCTCTTTCCTCCTCCATGTGAATCTCCATGACTCCCTGCACCGTGAGAGTGTCCATGAAAGCCTTGAAATAGAAACATGCCGATAATATTAATTCCGAGACCAACACATCCCGTTATCAAAAGCATATTGACATTTCTAATTGGTTCGGGGGTTATGTACCGTTGTATAACATCAAATAAGATCGTTAGCGAAAGTGCCAACAGGAAAACGGTGTTAATATTAGCTCCAACTACTTCAGCTCGAACCCATCCGTATGTGTTTATGTCTGAACGTTTTTTTGATAGCCTTACAGAATAAAGTCCGATTAATAGCGATAAAACATCAGCCAACATATGAAATGAATCAGCTATCAAGGCTAAACTATGTGTTATGTGTCCAATAACAATTTCAACAATGAAATAAAGAAATATCAAAGCTAACATTGAACATAGACGAAAAGTCTTCGTTGAATACCATGGTACACTTGAATGTGACATTTTCGGTGTCTTTTTTATTTGTTATCTTTGTATATATATATATAAATACTGGATGGTTTCGCTTGACAGACAGTTATTTTATATATACATCGTCTGAACCCGCGTAACGAAATATATTGCAGAGGACCAGATTAGATGAACATAGAACGAGCACTTTTCTTACCTTGCTATTTGATTAGAAGCACCCCCAAAAATATTTTACTAAACATGTGTATATTCATTCTTTTTTTTCCAATAGAAAAAGGTACGATATACATTAAATACAGTTGCATGTTGATACTCTCCTCTGATAAAGGTATTTTATATAGCAAACTGAAATGAAACATTATTCGATCAGCTGTGTCATACGTGTCAGGAATGGACTCTTGGGATAAAAAGTGCTTTTTTGCTCGGCTAAAAAATAAAGAATAAGTAACGTAAGGTTACTTTCCATCCCCCAAGCTTTTTGAAAAAAGAATCAAATGATTCGCGCCAGTATCAAAAACTGACTCTAATAAAGCAAATTGTGAAGTTTTTTACCTGCTCTTTTTACCAGTTCTATTTTTTTTTTCATCAGTTTTATGGCTTTTTATTGAGGTTTTCTTTGTTGCAATCTACCTACGTAATGCAGTCAACAGTCTTTGCATATAGATTATGATTAGCCTTAAGATGCTCAACCATGAATTAAAACATAGTTGAAGGATAACGTCCACATACACTTGATGTTTATGGCTCCCTTATATCAGGTGAGAAAGAAAAATGAAACGCAATTATTCGTGTTGTTTACCTGGGGAAAGATAAATAGCATTTATCCTTGTAAATGAAGAAAAGTATTCGTTTTAAATTAATATTCCTCTGTTAGTCGGAAAAATATTAACAGTAAAGAAAAGTGCACTTTATAAATGAGGAGATATTATCTCTTAGAATATATTTAAAAAAACAATAAAAATCTAAATACAACATATCAGGATGTTTCTCTAACAATACTACATTTCGAATTGATTTTGTATGAATTATTCTGGTTAGTATTTAGCGAAACCGGTGATATTAGCGACCACTTCAATGTTTTTTGACGGACCCGATTGTAGACAGTTCCGCGAGTACACCGTTTTGGTTTGTATAATGGTCCGCAAGATATGAACTATCATAATAGATGTTGCCATCGTGCCGCTTAATAAACACTTCTAGGGCATCTACTAGAGAGCTACGAAAAGAGGGCTGCGCGATTACAATTACAAAATGTAAAGTTCATATATTGCTATTATCTGTAGAATTCAGAATTCTAGAATTCTGAACTTTACATGCATGTAAAGTTGCATACTCACGCTCACCCCCACTCATAGAATTAAGGATTTTAGAATTCTGAACAAGTAAAGTTCAGAATTCTAGAATTCTTAATTCTACAGATAATAGCCATATTTGAACTTAACATTTTGTAATCGTAATCGTGTACGTCTGATCATTTGACATCGAAAGCTATCATCTGATCAAAGCAATTCAACTCATGAAGGTTGTTTTACCTACCCTTCTCCCAGCCTCACCTTCTTCGCAAGCAATTCTTCTTGGTCGCTTAAATGATTTTCAAATCTTGTTTAGATTTTAGCGAATCTGTCACTGAATTCGAATACAGAAACCTTATTTTGTTGCAGATAAAAGAAATTGCATCTTTGGAAAGTTAAACTACAAAAACGAATAACCTTAAATGAGAAAAATGAAAAACTGACATAGAAGGAAAAAATTTGACGCCGTTTGAGCCCAATGAGTTTTTCCAGCTATCTGGTAGAGGGCCTAAAAGTTTAATAATCCTGCTTGCTAAAACATAGTTTTAAGCTAAAAGACTTTTCTTAAACGAGATTTTTTCGAGGAATTCTGAGCTAGGCGCTCGGTAGAGCTTGAAAAGTTGCCTATATAGCGTAAGTTTCAAAGTTATAGCTAATTATGTGGCCGGATGCAAATTTTGCAAAAAATGCTCGAAATAGACTTCCCATGCATTTTTAGAATTACTATAAAATCGTTGATAGGCGCGAAAATTCCAACTTTCCCATATTCAAAATGTATCAAGCTCATACTTGTTCAGATGGTACAAAGCTGAGCTTAATTTTGCTTTTCTTTATCAAGATTTTTGGAGCAGCGAAAATCCTCGACTTCACTCTTGATTTTCTCAAAACATCGGCGTTATTTATCATGGAAAATTATACAAGAAAGTCAGTTTACGGTGTACTACTTACCGCAGAAATTTCAAAGTCCAGACATCAGTGCTTTTTGGCCTCTCAAAAAGCGGGTTTCCAGAAGATCTTTCAAAAGACCAAAATTCTGTAACTTATTCTCAACTTATTCACACGATAGGATAGATGATTCTCTTTTGAATGCTACGCTGCTGTCTATCGTGGTTCTTTAATAAGATACAATCATTTCATCAGAATAAGCCCATCCCAACGCGCCAAAACCTCTAAAAGTTTCTAATGTAAAATATGTTTATACAAGGTTTCCTTCAGAAAACCGCCCAGGTACAAACAAAGTTCATAAATTTATCATACTCGATATCGTATAAAAAAATCATTTATTTTAGTTTTAAACATCAATAAATCCTAAAAGATTTTCTGAGAGCCTTTTAAAAGTCTTCTGGAAACCTCAATTATGTAGCAGTTGAAAGCGTCGCAGTTGATTGTCTTTGAAAACCGTGTGTTTTAGCTAAAGTCTCAATGTTTATCAAAAAACATTTCTGAAGATCCTCTGCTAGTCCACTGGAAATTCTCACAAAGCCCTGGTTATATGCCCATTAGATACGCCGTAATCTATTTATCATTTTTAATTTTAATTGTTTATCATTATGATTTCCTGTTTTAAATTGAACATCTTTAATAGTAAAGAGGCTGTTCTTTAATATTCGGCGCAACTGTAATCCATTCAAGAATGGTTCAGCTTCAGTCTACATACGAAGCCCGGGAGGTGTCAATATCCATAGTTGACACTTCTAAGTTTTAATATGCAGACTGTGCGAGAAGTGTATCTCATATAATGACATGAATGCACTTGAGGTAAACACTAAAATAACTCATTTGATAGAGGATTTCTTCGCCCAAGAAGCAGTTATACAAATATTCGATGATGTCACCAGTCTACACGAATATGTTAGGAAGTATAAATCAAATCTCATATCAGCAGTTGTCATCTTTCGAATATACATGTTCTCTTCACTCGACGATTATTTTCCCTTTCTTCTGTTATATGTATTCACTCTTCTGCTTTTCTATGACCAATGTTTTCTCTTTCTATTCACTCTTTTCGATGGATATTTTCCTTTCTATTCTTCTCTCCCTCTCGTACAATAGCGTACTATATATAGTTGTTCATTTGCTGAAATAAAGTATGTGTAACAATTACATTCTTCCTTGGCTATTAATCATTGGATGCAAAACGAGTCCGAAAAAGTATGCACCGGTATCGGTATCCATACCGAAATACCGATACCGAAAATACCGACTTTCGATTTGGACTCTTTTGGATTTTTTTCATCTGAAATGAGACAGTTTAGCGTCATGGACAGTCAGAACACAAAAAGCATTCAGCTGGGTACTCTGAGCATGTGTAAGAACAACTTACATAGAAAATAAAGGTAAACCTTGGCCTTAGAAAGCAAACAAAGCTCTTGTTTTGCATCTCTGATTCTTTGTAGGTGTCCAGGATGCTAAACTATGTCATTTCAGATGAAAAAATCTAAAAAAGTCCAAATAAAAAAAGTCGGTATTTTCGGTATGCAGTATACCGGTGCACATCTAGAAAGAAATAACCTCACAAATATTTATCCTACGTAGCATAACGAATTTTAAAGTTTCATCCAATGAACTTCACCGAAGTTCACCTATATCTGCATTCATGTCGTTACATGAAATACACTTCTCGCATACTTTATTCACTACTTGGAGGTCTCAATAGCCATTGCTGACACCCATGGTGGTGTCAACAGCCATTCCGAAGTGTTTATCTATAATCCAAAAATTCATCAAATCTGACTGGTGGATTCAGGATAATCAACCTGATGTAACAATGTCTATACTTCAGGATGATGTTTTTGATGATGTTTTTGGATAACTTAGACACTCACGTGATCTTAAAGGAAATTTAGCTTTTTAGAATCTTCTTCATAATAATCAAATGTTACTCTTGAAGTACAACAAGCGTGAATATCAAAACACTTTGTGGCAGAGGTGTCAGAACGTTTCCAAATGGGGACTCAGCGTAAGGTAGTCCCTGACCCAAAACATGTTTTTCGAGTTTCGCTGACTTTTCTATTCATAGAAATCTGTCAGCAAACTTACTATGTGAATGTGATAAGGACGTTGAGCTGAGCAGGATAGTTGACTGCCTTGATCCTAGAAATCTGTCGATTTTCTGTTGAATTTGGTTTAGATTGTTGCTTCTTTTCAAGATGTGACATTTTTTGCTTTTTTGGCGAAACAGTCTAGAACTGACCCGCCATTCATTCATGATTATCTAAAACACTAGCATGCGTAGTAAGTAATCTAAAATGAGCTATTCTAATCGATCTTTACATCAACATAAACGCGCATTTTGCGATAAGAATGTTGTCGGAATCGTCTAATGTGTCGAAAGATTTCCTGTATTGAATGCATCTAAGAAACAAGAAGGGAACTAGCAATCTGAATGGATCTAAGAAGCAGACTGTAGTTTGAAGCGAGAGCCGAATGGATTTTTTAGCTAAAGTTATGTATTTGATCGATAAAATAAAGTCAGTACTGACAAAACGGCAAAAATAAGACAAAGAGATGATTGTAGCCATCACTGTTTATGTTGATCACTGATTTTAAGGCTAACCTATATTAAGGGAACGCTCGCTATAAAAACAACAAAAGATGGCACTAAGAACTACGACTAGACGTCGAAACTCTGCTGCCATCTGATTGTTTTTCTTTTCTTCAACTGAACAGAGTGCACGTCAGAAGTCTCGGGACGTGTAAAAATAGAGGTAAAGTTGAATTCACCAAATTTTCACCAATAGTTCAACAAACTGTGATCATAAGTGTCAACGCGCCACCGATCGGTTGTCGTGTAGCTGAGTTATGAATGAATCAAACACTGTCTTTCCATTCAGACAACCGTATCTCAGTCAGTGAGCCAGAGTAGCATCTCAGAGAAGTTTTGTTTGTTCTTCGACGGTTTGATAGGTTAGACTAATTTTTTTAATGTCAAATACAGTTCCGTAACTCTACTTTCTTAGGTGCAAAGGCCATTCCATATCGACAGGATCCAAGCGTTAATAAGTCACGCAATGGCGGTTACACGATCTGGCTGTATTTCTACTTAATTAAAAGGTGTGGTTCGGAAAATCTCAGCATATATTTCCGGGTTCATGACTGGTTCAATAGGAAAAAGTTTTCAATGAGAGAAGCATATCTCAGTCATTTGAAAGTGATTTCTCATGTAGTTTTAACTGTAGAAAGCTTAAACATTAGGCTCTGTTTGACAATGGCTCTCTCAAACAACGCATGATAGGTCATGTATGTAGCCCACTTTTTCCTCAAGAGTCACAAAAATAAGATAGTGTGGTGGTCATTGTAAATCTCTTGACGAAGCTTTACTCAGATCAACATTTAATGTCTTCAATATTTGTACCCAATTCAGATAATCGCAATGATACTGTCGGTACTGTAGTATCATCATTGTTGCTAAGTGCTTTCTTTATATTTAATTCGGGTTTAGCGCTGTTGTCACGTTCGCTGTCATCTCCATTGTTATGCCATGTAGAGAAGAACTGCAGTTGCAATGATGTTAACAACAAAAAGAAACGATTATAAAAATGATCATAACTTTCGATAAAGATTTCAAAAATCCAGTCAAAAATCAGATTGGAGATTCTATCTACTGTTCAAATCTTTTTTCAAATTTGTTCTAGCTATTACGGTCGACAAGAAAAATGAAAAATACAAATGGATCAACAGTTCTCCAATCCACTATAATTATCTTTATATGTAACAAATCGCCCGAAAGATCTTTCTCCTTTGAAGGTTCGGTGCTACAGTTCAGTTTCTTACGGACATAATAATTTATTCATAGTTTACACAGAAGAAATTGTGAATGTTTTGTTCCTACTAACGTTTACTCTTAATGTAAAAATAATTTACAAGACAAAGAATAGACAACAAAGAACAATTTCGATTGATATCAGCAATATTTTTTGTAAGCAAAATATTTTGATCAATTAGAAACTTCAAGGCTGTATTTGTGACGATTGGTGCAACTTGAGTCTCTGTTCCAATTGTCATGTAGTGATTGAGTTCATTGATTTCTTGAATTGATAATAATTGTAATTTACTTTCTCTTTCATACACTTGTTTCAGTAAATGATGTAACGGTTGATAAACACTTGGTGGTGTTTTGAGATCGCTTTGACTATTCACTATCAATATTGATAAATTTTGCAGAGCAACGTTCGTGTCGTTTATTAAATAACCTATTTTTAATTGTGAGTAAGCATATGCAGTTGAAAGACATATATCATAATTAAAATAACCTATTTGACACAATAATAAACAATAATCTGAATTCATATGTGGTGAGCATACATTTGTACCACATTGAGCGGGACAATAGAAACCCTTTTCTACTGTTAAATTCAAATTTGGAAATGTAAATTGTGGATATGTATGACCACCATAACAAATTACACTATTAAAATCAATTGGGACTGATTGAGAACGAATTAAATTGTATTGATTTTCAGTTATTAAAGTCGTACAATTCAACATGTTAATTATTTCAATTAACTGTTCGATTGCTTGCTCTATCTGTGGTGTTACAGGCACTTGAGATTGTAAATATTGTAGTTGCTCTTCAAACAATGGTAGTTACAATTTTGACTGATCTTTGAATACAATATCAATATCAACACCAACACACATGAAGAGTAGAAGTGCTTTTGGAATTATTGACTGCGTTCGATAATCCTGTATTATATTCGATGCAACATTCAGAGCAATTGTAACACCTAAACTACATATACACACACTGTACACAGACTGTAGAGATATGTGAAATTATCCTAGTCGCGGTTCTTGTATCTTGATGTTTTTCGGAATTGGGTAACTTTCATTAAAAAAACTTTCATTAAAATGTTTTTTAATGACTGGTACTTTCATTAACATGTCTCCTCCAAAATGGCTATGACCTGAAGTTTTTGATGGTACAAGAATTTCATTAAAAAGTTTAATGAACTTCCTTTTAATGAAAGCTTTTTTAATGAAATTGTGATATTCCGTTCTTCGCTCACAAGGCAACAAGACTGAAGTTCTGAAAAAAAATCGAGTTTTAACACTTTACGATTCTACGTAAAACTGTCATGACTTCGTTACGAACAATATGTCAGTTTGCTATTCTTAGAAAGTCGGTAACATATAAAGTGCGGTTCGGTCTTGTATGGTCCTCGTGTGTTCTCACTTCCTGGCGTACTTGACCATTAAAATCAGTTCGAGTAGAGTAAAAATCCTCATTTGCCACTATTTAATAGCGTATCCATAAAAAGAAGACTGTGTCGAAGAAGACTGTATCGAAGACTGTGTCACAATAGCTCAGCGGTCGGAATAATGGTCATGAATACCACTATCCTGGGTTCGATTCCAAGTCGAGATGCATACTGTTCTTCCTTCTATCAAACTGCTGTTAAAATCATTTTTGATTGAGTTTTAACACAAAAGTTTGTTTTGTGCATCTCTACAGTATAATGAAGTTTCTAAAAAGAAAAACGTTGGACAGGATGAACCCTAGATTTTTTGATATATGAATATAATTTTCTTTGTTTTCCCATAAATGTGTTAACCACTGTTTGTTTGATTTGTGAATTTTTTGCCAGGAATATATGTACTCGGCTTTGAACAGGTGGTAATAATGATACGGCTGAGCTCCTCGGTTTCCTCTGACGTTGTCAGTATCCCACTAGACAGATTTGTCTTTCTCTATCTTTACCTTCAGAATGCCCGCCGATAATTAATCTCTTTGAGTTGATTGTCTGAGAATAGTTTGCTAAAAACTTGAATGCTTGTTCGGCGTCGCTAACATAATCAAACATCGTTAGTTTTAAACTTTGTACACAATTATCAGTATCATTTATGGGTGATATATTACAAAACTGATATTGACATATTGGTAGACGACAATTTCTTTTATCGTACACAAGAACAGCTATACCGTTTGATGCTAAATATGTAGCAATGTCGTAAAATAGATGATAATTATTCTCAATATCTTCCCAGCGATCATTTCCACCCGAACCGTGAATCAGTAAACAACCAGGAACGGGATTTGATATTGTGGCTTCAATTGGTATTAATATCGTCCCGAATAATTTAATTTTACCAGATGTGACATTTTCTGAACTATCAAATGTTACATTGTACATGAAAAAATTATCACTACTATCTGCTGTATGGATTATCAGCAGAAATAACAAAGTATTCCAATAATTCATTTTCATAGTTAGTATCAACTTTGTTGTTTTCCTATTAAATGTGGCTTATTAATATGTCAGATATCTTATCGTTTGAGTGTAAATGTGTGTCAACGCATTGAAATTTCTTTCTTTTTTTATATTTTTCTTTTTTTCTCGTGTAGGTAGGGGTGTAAACAGTTTCTATTAAACCGAATATTTGTTATGATATTTAAGTTAGATTTAGACGAAATTTGTAAGAATAATCAGTTTGGACTGAAATAAAACGAAACTTTATCAACAAAATGTGAAAGAGCTTTGTATTCACACCCCTTTAACGTAAGTTACCTAAGCACTGAATGACTATTGTACTTGTTCGTTTTGAATCTCAGGTAGTTGTATATTTATTAAACAAAAGAGAATAGTGATATAACAAAATACAGCAAAAAGCTTATAATAACTAAGCAGGTTAAAATATTTTCATATATATAGGTTATACTGTATTCTTTTTAGTATAGTGCGCTTATATATAATATCCCAAGTCCACTTTCTTGTTTCAATCACGTCGTGAACGCAATTAACTCTTACTTTTAGAATAATTTGTACTTTGCGATCGTACAGCGACAATAGCGACTTTTTAGCGATCGTGGCGTAATTTCGCCACCAGAGCACGATCACTATAAGAAAAAATTGTCACGTCGCGATCGCATTTTTCTCTTATAATCGTGATATAATACAAGGTTGTGGCGCAATTCCCGCGCAAATCCTACCCACTGTTTTGTTTTGCTTACGCGCTTGGTATACAACATTCGCCGATTTTTCAAAAAATTTTCAAAATCTGATCACATCTTAATAATAGCTTACGACATGACTAACATAGTCTTGCGTAGTCGCGTCGCGCCAACACATTCGGCTGGGTAAAAGTAACGTGGTTCATTTACTGATATTAGACGAAAAACGCGAATAAACAGTGACTATTTTAAAATACTTGAGAGTCGTCGACTTTTGTATTGAATAGGTCTAAAGTTCAAGAATCTGTGATGTTAATATATCAAACTTATATTCAGACTGATTCTAGAAATGAATGATGGAGGTGCTCGAGTATAATTAGAACTTTTTCTTTCATATCTGCTCAGAGAGGATTCATGCGGAATAATTCTTATTCCGTCGAGAGAGAGAATGAAAAGGTGTCTGGTCCTACTGCTTTACATTTTTTCTGAAGTTGCAGAAAAAGAATAGCAATGAATAAAGAGCTATTTTTCGTACAGAAAAAAATTAAAAGGTAGTAAGTACAGCGTCTCGTAAACAAACATGCTTTTTATATCAGATATTTACTGTTCCAATATTTTAAGAAAGGTAAGTAACATCGACTTTTGTTGTTTCAAACAGACAGCGATAAAAAAAATTATTATTGATACGATGAGAAAAACAACTTTATATTTTACTTTCCTCGTTAGTGGCACATTGTGCTGAGATGGAGTTTTTATATTCCGTAGATTAAATCTAAAGTATCTATGATATTGAAAAATTAGTTTTTTATTCAACGTATCTTCATGGGTGTCTAAAAGCTCTTTTAAACTTGATAGGTTTTCCAGACAAAACTAAAATATTCGCATGCTGGTCTTTCCACTATCGCTTCTCGATTACTGGAGACCTTTCGAAATAAAAATAAAGCCTCTGAGGAAGAAAAGTATCAGCTTTCTGATGAAAATATTTTTTGATACAGTTTGAACTGTTAGTATAGATATCGAAGTAGAATTGAGGGTCTACAACTATCTGGGATTCAAAAAGAACAAGAGATCGAGAAAAGACAGGTTAAAAGCTATTGGTCGTTCTTGAATTCGGTCTATTCACTTACGCACACCCCTTCACCACTGAACTTCACACCCTAGAGAACGTACGGGGGGCCAAGTACTTGGACCAAGTACTTCGTCTGCATAATGAAGCTTACAGTACTTGTCTTTTTTTAAGAAGTAAATTTACGTGTAAGTACTTGTCCTTACTTGTCCAGTACTTTCAGAAAGTACTTCGTAGCAATAAGGCAGGTATTTCGATTATGGACAAGTGCCTAGTATGTAATCAAGTATTGGCATCAAGTACGTTCTCTAGGGCAGAGTATGACGAAAGATCGAACGCTTTCGTGGCTCTGGAACCTTGAAATACACTTCCCTATATGCGGCTTTTGCCGGTGATTTCGAAAAACACGTTCCAAAGATTTCCCAACCTTGTGGAGTTAAGTTATTGCATGTTTTTCAAAAAATTGTGGTTTTTCGAAGAAATGGACCCTTCTACTTTTGTGAACTGTTTTGTAGAAAAAGCGCACTAAAAAAATTGAGAGTAACGTATGCGTGATCAACGTAAAATTCTGCGTCGAATGGCATCTTTCAGCCAAAAATAAAATAGTGCTTGAACTTTAAATTTGGAGCGTCTTACATGATCATATTGTAAAAATTTACTAGATTATTATGTTAGACTATGTGTTAAATTTTGATGCTTTTTTGTGTGTGCGTTGGTTTTGTGAATCACGTTTTGAAAGCGTTGGTTTCGTGGGAAGAGAGACTGACAAACCATGGATAGCGTATCTAACACTCTCCTACCAGGAATATAAAAAACAAATAAAAGTATTATTAATGACAACAACAGTGTTCGTTCTGCAACGTTATATAAAACTTACACAAACAAGACATAGGTAAAAATAACGAACGATGAATATTGATCATTTGAAGAATATTGGCATTTTTATTTTAAATTAAAGCGTACAAAATCACATTTTTTACAGTTTGATTGTTGTTTTTAGTTATTATTCTTCAGTGATCTTAGAAAAATAAAAATAAGCTGAATTTCACACATAATCGTATCGTAGTATCATTTGTGATATTAATCTCAAGTTTTTGGCTAAACAAATAGTTTTGGGTTATTATTTCAAGAAAGAAAGGAAGACGAAAAAATGAAGATGAAATCAAAACTTCTTTTATAGAATCTGTACATGATTTCTTCATTTTATTCTGTAATAAGACTCTTCGGTTTCGAAATAAACAAAACGCTCTAGGAAAGATAGAAATTGTTTTTGATTTGCAGCTGGATGCATCTAAGCATTAAAACTGTCAGAAATGGCAGCACATGATTTTCTCAATGCGTTTTAGAAGTACGGGAAAAGCTTGTTGGTATAACAGCAAGGATTAACAGACGAGAAGGACTCAATTTTTGAGAGTTAGTCCTAAAATATATATCCTACGTCTCTGCGTTATTCCAACGTAATTAATTGTATGACGTTTTTATGAATAAGAAGAAAAAGAGTGTAGCAGTTCTGAATTAAAGCAAACACGTTCTGAAAGTGAATAGAAAAAGTAAAAAGAAACAATCGACGAGGATGAGATTCGAACTCACGCTCCCAGAGGGAAATGGATTAGCAGTCCATCGCCTTAACCGCTCGGCCACCTCGTCTGATAAACTCTACATGTAAAACGTGTTTATCTCATGTGTGTACAAACAATTGATTACGACACGACATTTTTCTTCTTTTATATGACAAATAGTCCAGTAGTATCAAGCTCGGGAATCTTTAGAAATTTCTGTCGTTCTCAGAATTCGGTCTCTTCGAGCAATGGTACTGATCTGGCAAATTCTGCCAATTCTGGCCAAATTGTCATCATCGATTTGTTTCAATATTTTTTGGATGTTGTGATTTTTCGTTTCTGTTTTTTTTCTTGTTAATAATACTATGTAAATCATCGACTGCTTTTCAACGACAACATTTGTACATCCTATGACCGTGGTTCAGAAGCTTTAAAAAAATACATTGAAGAACGTTTTATTATGAAATCTATACATATGGAAGAGCTACTTAAAGCTATGCCTCGATCCCACGTCTTGCAGAAAGAGAAAATCTGCACAAGTTCTTTAAAGATTTTTTTTCTTGAAAATTCTTGATCAAGAACTTGATCAAGAATTTTCAAGAAAAAAAATCTTTATAAAAGGCTTACTCTCAGTTTCGAAGTGAAGTGCTTATTCCCATTTTCAGAGTAAGGCGCTTACTCTCAATTTTGGAGTAATATATTTATTCCCATTTTTAGAGTAAAAGGGTTACTCTCAGTTTCGTAGTTAAGAAATTCAGTCTTGCCCAAGCGTCAAAAAAAATCTGGTATCGTCCAATCCATCTAGATTACTAGATTTTTACTCGATTGCAACTACTGTGTAACGACAATGGAAATCTAGTAATTGAGCGATTACTAGATTTTTTCTAGTTGCAACTATCGATTTATTGCTCAATTTATCGCTCGATAATCGATCGATTTAACTATTGCTAGATGCACATGTGGATGCATCTAGTTAAAAGTCCCTTTTCCAACTAGTAATCTAGATGACAACTAGTCGTGCATCGCCCGATTATAGACGAAATGTATCTAGCCTAGACACACTACAAACATCGTCTATGGAAAAAATCGGACTTTTTCCATAGATGATGTTGCTTGGGTGCTTTAGAAGAACACTGCTTAGAATATTTATCTTTTTTTTAGTTTTACTCCAATTTTTAAAAGTATGAAAAAATACTCCGAAATTGACTTTTCTCCACCCCTGTCTCCGAGGTATTGAGGCGCTCCTGTGTATTAAAGGTACAAAATGCCGATTTTAATGCGTTCAAAGGAAATTTTTGGTATAAAAAAATTCACTGGGTGTGTGCTTTTGCAAAATAAAACGGTATCTAGCGTTAAGTAAGAATTTTATAAGGAAGTGACAAGAAAGTGATAAGAGTGTCTTATAAAAGTCATCGCTTATTCATATGTAAATCTTACCTGATTATTATCGGATTCGTACGAAATCCTTGCCATTTTCAAGCGAACTTCATCTGTAAGAATCCGCTAGGACTCGGATAAGATTCTCATCGTAAATAACGAAAAATGTTCGTCTAGGGAGTTAGTTCATTCTATGGTAAGATTTGTTAAGTCTCTATATTAACTGTCTACTTGGAGTTGTATATTGGATATCATCGTTACCGTATTGGTATGAAGGAGCCGTTTCTTTAGCACCATCAACAAATAAAATTGGACTAGAATCAAATTGGACTAGAATAAATTTCTCTCGGAAAATTTAAGAGAAAACTATTTTTCATGGTAACGTTTTAAAATGATAGCATCTGGTTTAATGAGTTCCTGCGCAGTCCATCTCAAGAGGGAAGTTTTTTAAGTGATAAGCTCCGATTCGGTTCGTTCGCACATCATTCGATAGAGGATAGTAAGGTAGTAAAAAGCCTACAATATTAGCGGCCTCTTTGGCTTCTTTCAGAAGTTATAGGAATTTTTCTATCATTCCCAGCTAAAATCACGAGTCAATTAAAAATTCATAACTCTAGCAAATGAACTTCTGTGGACCTGAAATTTACTGCATAAATAGCCGACAATGCCAGCTAAACAGCACCAAAATTTCGAATTGCTGCGACGTGTACTTCCCAAATTACGAGTTTACCTTTTTATCCGTTAAAAAGTAGGCTTTTCTGAGTTAACATTTTTGTGTCTTTTAGATGACTTGTTAGCCTTATTTTTCTTAGACCTTATGTTCAATGGTTGTCACGTTGTACTTACGAAGATACGACATATAATTTAGGAAAAACCACTGTAGGTACCAAGTTTCCGGACGTTATTCAGAAAGTTAGTTTTTCTTTGTAACTCATGTGCGTCTGTTTTCTTCAGACACTATATCGAAAATGATTAATCCACACAACGTCTCCCGTCTTATTTCCAATTATATTTCGTGGGAAGTACGCGTCACAGCAATTTGAAATTTTTGGTGCTGTTTAGCTGGCATTGTGGGCTATTTATGCTGTAAATTTCAGATCCGCAGAAGTTCATTTGCTAGAGTTTTGAATTTTTAATTGACTCGCGATTTTAGCTGGGAATGATAGAAAAATCCCTATAACTTTTGAAAGAAGCCAAAGGGGTCACTAATATTTTAGGCTTTTTACTACCTTACTACCCTCTATCGAATGATGTGCGAACGAACCGAATCGGAGCGTGTCAGTTAAAAAGGTTCCCTCGTCGGTTAAACATTGCCCAAATATTTTTCTATGTTTACTATATCAAAACACGATGTGCAAATCCTTCTGGACCTTACAATAGTTTTTCCATATAAATTCATAAATTTTTTTATTTTTTTTTTTAAACATAGCAAGAAAATGTGGGTAAATCGGGGCCAGCCCCATTGTATGCTCATGAAAAGAAAAAAGCAGATTAATAGAAAAAACCCATTGAGAGAGAGAATAGTCTACATTAAGAAAGTATTGTATGTGTGTATAATAGGTGACAAAAGGAAGAGATATAACTTAGAAATATATACGTTGATCCATGTGTGCCAGTGGGATAAGAGAAGATAGCAATAATAGGGCCTTAAAGCATAAACCGCCCAGTACGTTTGATGAAGTGTAATATTACTGAAAAGACTGCAATTAATTGCTCAGCTGGTAGCTGTCTAATTGTTACATCTCTTAAAAGCAGCTGATCAAGGTGAATTTTATCACAACTCAACAGCACTTTGAGTTTTTCGAAAAGCTCGTTCCTCTGCTGGTCGTAATGTAAGCAGAGTAAAAAATAATGAGTAGTGTTTTCCTTTTCTCAACTCAACTGCGTATTCACTGGTATAAGCTCCTTTAGATAACTAGCTGTTTTTCCATACATTATTTTGTGAAACAAACACAATCTACGAACGTAAATAAGGTCCTGGATTGCTAGCTACCCCAAGTCGTACAATAATTTTTCATGTGATGCTCCTCGCATTGCTCCAGAAACTGCTAAGCATGCTTGATACTGTATCTGGTTTAATCGATTTAGGTCACCAGTATCTGTCCCTCCATATATAACTATCGCGTAGCTTATGACACTAAGAATAAAAGCCTTATACACAGAATCAAGAGTTTGCCTTGAAGCTCTCCTACTCATATATTTCATCGA